TCACGGCAATGATTCACTCAGTGGTTTCTCGGCTACGAGGCGCGTAACTGTAGTGAAATATCTTTTGTGATATGGTAATTTTGCAAGCGGAGCCTCTCTGACTTTGTGTCGTGTTACGAAAGCCACCAGCCGGCTCCGGCAGAATGTTCGCCGATTAGCAAAAGTCAAGTCCTCCCGGCTTTGTGTGGTTTTCCAGGTGACACAGAGGGGTCAGGATTTCCGTTCTCACCCGCAGGTGACAAGAAGTGGCTGGGTCCTCCTGGCTGGATTTGTGTTTCTGGGTGTCCCACAGCTCGGGGAACAGGCCCATTCGCGAGTGGCCTCGGGCGGCTCTAATTCGTGCGGTGGCTCTTGCCTTGAAAAGTGACCAGACCGCCCCCGAGCAGCCGGGCTTCCTTCCCAGATAAAGGCTTTCCGTCTCCCTCTTCGCCTCCCCAGTTCCATCAGGTTGTCTCTGCTTTCTTCTCCTTCTGAGCGCCGTGTGCCTGAACCCAAGACCGTTCACGCTTTGAGCCTCAGCGCTGCCATCAGCCGGCGAAGCAGGCCAGCCTCCGCTCTGTTCAGACGCGGCTTTTCCTGCCTTGTCTGGAAAGGCATCTGCCAATTCACTTTTCCCGGCTTATCAGCAAAGCACGTGGCCCCTGTGCCCACGCTGCTTAATATAAAACACCGGGAAAGTCCCCGAGCAAGCAAGAGAGCCGTTGGAAAGTGCCTGGTCTCTGCCGTCAGCCGAGGGCACGCACTGCTGTCTGCCATCAATGAGAACTCAGCACGACAGAGCAGTGAGTCACAGGCGCCGGTCGGAGTGGCCTGAGCAGACATATTTGTCCCCTGCGCATCGTCTCAGAAGTCACTCCCCTGCCCTGCAAGCCCCGGGGTGTGCTTTCCGTGTGGTCTCGGGTGATAGTGACCGGCTCACAGTGGAGAAATTCTCGGCGAAGCTGGAGGACGCAAACCTCTGACTCTTTCCGAGGCCCTCTGACCAAATACGCACGGGTGGGAGCGTCAGCTGGTCCAGGAGGAGTCACGTCCTGGCACCAGCGGATGTCGGCTGTGTAACCAGGGGCAACTTCGTGTCTCTCTTCCCTCATGGATGGAGACCTAGGAGAGTACCTAAGAGGGCTAGAGTGAAGTGCAAATAATTTGTCATTTGCAAAGTCACTTACAACAGCGTGCAGCATCTAGAACATCCTCATTGACATTAGTAATGCCTTCTGCTTCTCTGTTCTCCACGCGCTTATGATCCAGCGAGTAGAACGTGTAACAAATCGTGGGAGAGCGTGTCATCCCTGCTGTACGTGTCCTAGAATTGCAGGAGGGAAAGGATACGATACACGTGGTCGTCGGAACTGCCCTTTGGACCAGCTTTACCGACAGCAAGCACTTGTGAGTCTCTGTGCCTCGGGGACGAGTCCGCCTGGGGGTCCCCTGCACGTGGGACTCTCTGCCCCACTTTAGGGTCCAGGCTCTGCGGCTTGACTGAACACTGAGCAAAGGAGAGCATCCATTCTTGTCCTCGCTGGAGCCCCCGTGGGCGGCATGGCTGAATAAGGGGTGCCAAGGGCTGAGCAGTCTGGACCCCCGTTTCCTAGTAGATGGTTTTGGTTTATGACGTGAAGCTGGTCATCTGAGAAAACTTCTGGGGAGAGAATCCATAGTAAAGACTTGCAGGGATGCCGGGAATAGTCGTGCAGACACTGAGGCAGGATTTTGCCACGTCTGGCCTTCACCCGGGATGGCAGTAAACCAGGCAAAGCATATTGAGTCCCCACTCAGTGCACACGTGGAGCCCCACACCCCTTGGAGACGCAGAAGGAAATCACAGGCACGCTGAAGAGGCGGTGGCCCCCGGGGGCAAGGATGCTGGAGGACAGGACCCTGTCCTTGGACCTGGCTCTCGGTGCCCAGAAGACCCTGAATGGGGCGCACGGCCTCCTGGAGCATCTCAGTCCTCCAAGATGGGGACAGGGTACCTCCATGAAGGGACAGTAGAAGGAAGGCAGAAATCATGGCTAGCAGGAACCTGAGGGCATAAGCGAGAGAAGCAATCGAACCGACCAGACAGTGTATGTGAAAGCGACAGTAGGACTCTCCAGGGGATTCTGCCTGCGATGGTGAAGGCCCGCCTCCCCGAAGGCCGCAGCAGGAGAGAAGCAAGAGAGACGACAGCTTCTCTTGAAACTTCGCTGAAGTTCGGTTTCACCTTACTTTTCTAAGCGTGTATTGAGACTCCACTTAACTAACGTACAGAGTACTTCGAGTTTCAGGAGTACGATTCGATGGTTCCACACTTCCCTGCATCCCTGGTGCTCATCGCGACAGGCGTACCATCTCCCCTCCGGGCCCCACCCTTGTGTTCTCTGTCGTTAAGAGTCTGTTCTTGGTCTGTCCCTCCTTTTTCCCCTCTTTGCTCACTTGTTTTGTTTCTTCAGTCCCACACAGGCGAAATCATACGGTGTTTGTCTTTCTCCCACTTATTTCACTTAGCTTAATACTCTCCAGCTCCGTTCATGTCATCGCAATCAACTTATTAATGTAAGAAATCAAGGATGCACTTCACGAAGAAATGCTGTATTGACACGCAGGTATTAATGTAGAAAGAATATGGTGAGGGGCACCCGGGTGGCTCAGTGGGTTAATGTCCGACTTCGGCTCAGGTCACGATCTCGCGGTCCGTGAGTTCGAGCCCCACGTCGGGCTCTGTGCTCACAGCTCGGGGCCTGGAGCCTGCTTCGGAATCTGTGTCTCCTCCTCTCTCTGCCCCTCCCATGCTCGTGCTCTGTCTCTCTCTGTCTCTCAACAATAAACATTAAAAATTAAAAAACAAAAGAATACGGTGAAGTCTGATCTGTTTTAAATCGTAAAAGGCGTTACATATCACCAGATACGTCAGAACGTAAACGTATTTCCGCTTCATTACGGCCACTAATCCCCTTCCTCGGGGAAAAACATTCTGCATCCACCACACTTTCAGTCACAAGAGCATGTGCCCTGTTCTGTCTGCAAGAAGTAATAAATGCTGAGTGTTGGATTTATCTGTAACATACGCCTGTTCCCAGGGATACTTGTGACAGTATTTGGAGCAGCACTTGGCCCAAATCGGGCCCTTAGGAAGCTACCGAGAGGCCCCTGTCGGGACACGTGAGCTCCCCACAGTGCTGCGGGTTGGAAACTAACACAGCAGGCATTACCCTGTGACCCCAGACCCCTCCACATCAGGGAGCCGATGACTGCAACAACATTTACACGGGTGCATCAGGACAGGCAGCCTGTCGTGTTCCTTGGTTTCTCCAGGGGTTGGGAACCGGTTGTCACGAAGAGAGGAAGGGGATCTGGTGACCGCGAACCCAAGGGCTTGCTAACGGGACACGCGCTTCTCGCCCTAGGTGTTACAGTTCGAGCCTGGCCATTTCAGGAGGAGGGCCAGAGCCAAGCACATGGCTCTCGTCGACATCCAGCTGGATCACCACGAGCGCTGCGACTGCGTCTGCAGCTCGAGACCGCCGCGATAGGAGAACGTGTGCCAAATCCCCTCGCGCGCGCGAGGGAACCTTTCGTGTCGGGGGGCGGGGGGGTGTGAGAGGCCCTGTTCCACCAGCAGCCGCACTTGGGACCGGCCCGTAGAGCCGTGAGCGCCGGTGGGTGCTGAACCACCGCCTGGCTCGCTCAGCCGCAGCAGGTGGAAAGGCCCCTCATCAGCTTCTGTTCCCCAGAACACAGGATGGCCTGTAATGATCGTGTCAGAGAGCGTGCACGTGCATACATACGTGTGTACGCCGTCCGTGTCTACGTGTAAATACATCAGCTGGTTTCTTCCGTGTACCCCAGAGCTTACGTATGCTGCAGGTCTGTAGACCCTTAAAATCTTTTGACACATTGAGCGACAAATTAAATACGTGAAATGCGTCCTTGGAAGATTCAGAAGATTACTTTGTTTACTTCTAAATTTGACTCACAAAACAGTTTTGGATCTTGGTCTCTTAGAAAAAGCGCTGTGTATACTAAAAAACCAATAAATGGGCTTTTCTTATAGATACATCCTAATTATAAAAAAAAAAAAGAAGAAGAAAAAGAAGGAGAAGAAGAAGAAGGAAAAATACGGTTTCTGGGAAAAAGGCAGAGACCTGACCATTTTTCCCGAGGGACGCACTACACGCTTACCTATGTAGGCAGTAATTACCTGTCTGCAGAAGCATGCGGTAATAATATAGATGCCTTAGAAATTAAGTCATTAAGTCTTCTTTTTATGCATCCTGCTGAGGCATGCAAATTCATTTAACACCTGTCGCAAAAAAAATCTCTCAGAAGGTTTATTATTATAATCCTTCCAGAGACCATTTATCAACTGTCGCAGAACTTTGAACGCTTTCTTTCTGAAAGCCCGTCCACAGAAATGACGCCTTTGGAGAATGGCCTGGGGAGTCCGTAGGAGCCTTTCAAAATGATGGGGCGCCTGGGTGGCGCAGTCGGTTAAACGTCCGACTTCAGCCAGGTCACGATCTCGCGGTCCGTGAGTTCGAGCCCCGCGTCGGGCTCTGGGCTGATGGCTCGGAGCCTGGAGCCTGTTTCTGATTCTGTGTCTCCCTCTCTCTCTGCCCCTTCCCCGTTTGTGCTCTGTCTCTCTCTGTCCCAAAAATAAATAAATGTTGAAAAAAAAATTTAAAAAAAAAATCTTAAAAAAAAATGGTGTTCGTCGGAAGATTTGGGTAGTTGAAAGCAAAAACGGTGAACACAGAATTACTAACATAACTGGAGATTGGATGGAATATTTAATTGGCTCCCTGTTTAATAATGGATCCAAACTCTCCGGGTTAGGCCAATTCGTTTTATGTATCTTGCTTTTCTGTTCCTGTCTCTCTGATACACAAATATGGGTTTACGGTGGCGTTTTATATCTGGCGAACGTCACGAATTATTTACAGCCTGAAATCTTTCACGTATCAGAACAACCCAATTTTGTTGACGTGAATTCCCGATCACATCCTCGCTCCCCAGTCTGAATTCCGGCTTCCGGACTAAGCGAAGTCGGATCTGGGGGCTGTGGTTCTTGCCACATCTGTGGAGCTGCGTCGTGAGAAGCCACCTGCAAATCACAGGCCCACGAAGGTGGCCTTGCTCCACCAGGGTTTCCTTCCTGGGGTTTCGAGTCATTTTCCCTCCCCGGCTCCTCAATGTCTGTTTTCAAGGAGACTGAATCCACGGAGTAGCGAGTGACTCCTCGTTCTCCAAAGCAAGACTCTTGGGAGAACGCACTGGACTCCAGAGAGCCGTGGGGCTGTTCCGAGAGGGCTCCGTTTCTGCCTTGAATCAAGAGCTGATTTCTTCTGTGAGTCTGGGGCCCTGTGTGCTAACACCGTTTGAGTGAGGGCTGTGTGACAGGCTGGGTTAGCGCTGGGGTCAGGCGAGTGGCCTAAGTATACTTGTACTTCTGAGCCTGGACCAGGTTCTCACTCTCCGTAGTGGTAACTTCATCTTTTCTCAGCCCTTCGAGAGGGAAGGCTCGTGGCAGGTGCACCTTGAAAACGTCCCTAGAAACCTCCAGTGTTTGTACCGCGACGGCGGAGTGGGAAGATCGCTGTATTGGTCACTTGTCCAGAATCCCAGACACGATCACAAATGGCCGAGGCAGGCGCACCCGTAGTGAGGCCTGTGTCCCCATCACGGCCACTGGCAGGTTGCCCCATGAAGACGTTGGCCTGTGCACCCCAACTCTAAGTGGTTGCACGTGGCGTCATCTTGGGCAGCTCCCATCGTAGCTGTAAGTAGGAAAAATCAGTGTTTTACCCAATTTTTAATAAACCTTCCAGGCTGCAACAACCAGGTTGGTTTCCAGTTAAAGCCCTGTCTGCACTTTTTATTATTTATTGGCTGAAATGCAAGCAGTCGTATTCACTCACGTTTCTTTCCTCTTTCCTGAGTGTTTTATTAAAACGTCTCCCTCGGTTATCTGTTATCTCTTGCGTTTCCAACACGGAGCAGATAAATGTTTCATTGCCATCAAAGGAATAAAAAGCTCGCCGTACAAATTACATTTCAAAACAAACCCTAATAAATCCGCATTTCTGCGTGGTTCACTCACCTGGAATAATGCCTTCCATTCCGTGTGTCCTCACAGGGCAGAACACTTTCGTAAGTAGATTTTTTTATGCTTTTTTGTCATATCGGCAGCACGCAGCTTTTTCGTCTCGTAGCACTTTTCTGTAGCAAATGTAATATGCCTCTTATCTCCATGAAAAATGTATATTGCTTTTGAACAAAACTCCTTCATCATTTCCTCCCCAGTTGCAGCTCCCCAATGTGCAGTGTTACACGTTGACTTTCCGGAACGCCTGCGGCTGTTGGGGGTGACCAGGCTGGGTGATTTCCGAGGGCCGGGGCTCAGAAGGCAGGAACAGGGCAAGGCCTGGCCTTGGTGGCGGGTTCTCACCGGGTCCCTGTCCCCGAGCTGGGCAGCAGGGCGGGACCGGAGGCTTTGCTGTTTTGCTGTTTGCTTCTTGGACTGTTTTCCACGCTGGCCTTTTAATAAAACACGGTCTCGTCTGACCTCCATCCCTGCAAGCGCACGGCCTGTCTCTTCCTTCGGGGCCGACGTCGGTACCACCCAGACGCCTGGGAACCTTTTCCCACAGCAGGGTCAGGCCTACCCGCTCCAGAAGACCAGGCCAGGGGCTACAGGCGTGCAGACGCTGGTTTCAGAGCAGGGGCGGGCGAGGGGGCAGAGGCGAGTGGAAGGGGAGCTCTTCTCACTGCAGGATCTGGTCCTGTTGCTGGGAGCCTATCTTTGGCCTCGCGGGTTCGAGCCCCGCGTCGGGCTCTGTGCTGATGGCTCAGAACCTGGAGCCTGGTTCGGATTCTGTGTCTCCCCCTCTCTCTGCCCCGTCCCACCTGCGTTCTCTCTCTCTCTTTCAAAAACAAAAAATAAACATTAAAAAGGATCAATTTTACCATCGGAAGTACCAGTAACGTGTGAGTCAAAGTGTGGGGAAGGGGCAGGAAGGAATCAAATACTGCTGTGCACAGTTGTTAACTCAGATAACTTGGATTTTTACATAAAAATCATGGTAGCTGTGTGTGTGTGTGTGTGTGTGTGTGTGTACACAGTATCTTAATGCAAATACATTAATAATCTTATTTTATTTCCTGAAATGTACATGTGTCCAGTTTTACTCCGAGAATAACTTAACAGATGTCCAAATTGTTCATAGCCTCCCAGGGTCCTCTGATAGCATATTAAATTAAAATTCATAGATTAGTATTCATGCCTGAAATTGCAGGAAATACAATGTTGTTTATTGACAGCTTTGATCAAATATGCTAGAAGAGAGAACATTTGTAACTCACTGGTTTTTCCTGACACCCACTTAAATTTTGTTGTTTACAAAAATCGGGTTGAAGCCTACAGAGGTCTGCAAAACTTACCATAAAACACCGGGGTATCTCCTGAACATGATGGCCACGCACTTAATTTAAGACTTCAGGCTTGTCCTTCGTGTTACAGTCCTGAATTTGCAAGTTAACTTGTACCTTTTTCAGAATAAATTTCATTTCTGTAGCGATCTGTAACAATTCTTTAGCAGACCACATCAGAAGAGAGTGGGGCTGAGTAGGGAACCAATGCTTCGTGTTCCTAGGGCAGCAAGTTATGGGCCAAGAAATCTTCATTTTCTAATAAAACCATTTGACTTTCTCATTATTTTAAACCGTTGGATACCGGCTGCCAGGTTTAGTGGCCAGGAACCAAGTGTTAAAATTACTCTTGGATTCAATTTATATTTTACATAATTCATGTATAATACCGATTCTGTTTTGAGAACGTGTCCTGGGTCATATTCTCTCTAGTCTTTGGTGGAGGCCATATTACAAATTCCTTCTCTTCCAGTGTTTTCTCGCCTTTCCTCTCTCCCTGTGACTTCCGCGTTCCTTCTCGTTCTCACTGGTCTCTACACACCAGTCTTAGGGTCATCATCAGGGTCCGTGTGTGCGTTGGGAAGGCGCAGGAGGCGGGGGCCGTTCGAGGAGACCGGGAGAGCGGGTGGTTTCCCGAGGGAGCACTTCACAGGCTTAAATGGCCACATGTTAAGAAATCACTGCTCCGTGAGCGTCGAACACATCGAGGAAATGTTTGCCATTATGGCCCCTTTTGGTACGAACTTCAGAGTATTTATCGCCTTCTATGAACGGATACCTGGCCGCCATCAGTATGGGGAAAACTGACTATGTGCTTCGTGCATTCATTCAACAAAACGTGTTAAAACACGCTACGTATCAGGTGTGCTTTGGGGTCCCAACCCAGGGCCCACAACGAAAGGTAGAAGTAGAGACACATAACGTAGGTGGGATTCACAAGCGAAGTGGCAGGAAGGAATGTCTAGAGGCACAACCGGAGGGAAGTTTGAAAAGGTAGAAAATCCTCTGGTCACAGAGGAATCCTCTTGTGTGGATGGCTGGTAGGGAGTTGTGTCCTTTACGTGGAGGAGAGGAAGTATGCCTCGCCTGGGGCTGTAAGCATACGGGCCTGCGGGTGTCATAATGGAGGAGAGAGAACCTCCGAAGGCCCTCCCTTCCTGGACCTGTGCGTCCTCGTTTACAAAACCAGAAGGGCGACACAGAGCCTTTCCGCACTTTGGCAGATTCTGCACTTTGGCAGGTGGCCCCGTGCGGGGAAGGATGGGGTGGGAATGCGAATTAGGAAGCTTCTCCTCGGGCTCAGGCCGCAGAGACGGGAAGGGGTGGATCCCCTGTGGGTGCACGGACCGTCAAGGGCACATCTCTAGGAGTGCTGTGAGCAAAGTTCTCGAGAGGATTCAGGGTCTTGGCGACGCGGTGAGAGAGCAGCGCAGGCTCCGGGCGCGTCCCAGAGGAAGAAGTCGTGTGGGCTGCATGCTTGGGAGGACTCTCCTCACTCAGAACTCTTAGGGAGGCAGGGAGGGGGAGGCTCATTTCGAGAGAAGAAATCACACCCGTCTGAAGAGCCAGGGCTGGTGACGCTGACCGGGCACCGTCCTTCGGGCAGCGAGGGTGACCCCGTAAGAAGGATGATAAAGGGCGAAAGCTGAAGGATACCCGTGACCGCAGAGGAGACGAGACAACAGCAGTTCGCAAAGCTCACAAGTGAGTGCCCCAGAATTCGGAAGACACGTCGCTGAGGGCGGTGCCAGGCGGACCAGATTCGGAGAACGACTTAGCGGCCGCGTCTAATGCTCTGACCAAACGAGAGAGGGCTGCTG